AAAGAATCGATTGATTAGCTGAAATCTAATACATGTAATATGGACTCTATCATGGCAAGTTCAACGCATACCTCCTTTAAATTACTCAGCGACTGAGTTGCAGTGTGACACTCACACATTAAACTATAATACGGAGTATACATAGTATGAAATGTGCTACGGAGTAGTAGAACTATGCGCCAATGGTTGTAGATATCTATTCGGCGAGCCTAGTGAAGAGCTTTGTGATCACTCCGACGAGCATATATTCAAGCTGCTTGTAACCACTACCAGCGTCAAAGACGCGGGCGGTAATGACACCATGGTTATTGACCAGAAGGTTACACCCATCGGAGAACTTACAACAAATTCTCATCAAGACACACTTGATTATGGAATGGATGTTCAAGCCGAGATCACGCTTAAGAAATGTGATAATTGTAAAGATAAAGAATAGCAGCGAGAACCACTTGTTTTAAAATCAATTTCGATCGAGAACATCTCTAGAACTGTACAAGTTACTCTACTGGATTTGTATATACTTCAGAGCTTGGTAAAAGATTAACATTGAACTTACGGACTCTACAATATAACACATAAAGTTTTAAAATTACTCTGTCGCAGCATTTCAAAACTCATAATAATCGCTAATAGCAGAATGATTAAAAGGTAAAAATCCAAGCACCCATAAGTTCGTATGCATTCTGTCCCCAAACCAGTGGCTATCCTCTTCATCTTCAGCATACTGATCAATATCCAGCAGGCTCTCTTCTACATGAGATTGTAGTTCGTCCTGACCTTCAAGAAAAATACCTCTGTTACAATCACAATGTGTATTAATATCAAGGTACCCTCCGTCCTGGCAAATATGGCACTCGAACTTGATAGACTCCATTATAACTACATGCACTGCTAGTATCCGTTACAACACTGTTGTACGTTGTCGACTGTGATAAAGCAGTAGTTACACTTCAGGTTGTAGACTGAGGCAATAAATCAAAATGAAAAAGAGAACTAGCAGTAATAATCTTTAATCCGTGAATGATCACATGTTCAGAGATTGCGCTTTTCTGCTAATGTTCGATAGTTCTCTGGAAATCTCTGTTAGTTCCATCATGACTGTACTTAGTCTCGATGACACACTCTGAAGCTTGCATACTTCACTTTTCACATTACCCCCTGCTTCTGTTTGAGTGAACTCTTCTGACGGCCCATCCTTCTCCAACTTTTTTACATACTTTAGTATATCCATCGTAGCACAAGGATGCTTCTCACACCTTCTCTTTGCAGCTCTCTTTGCAAGTTTGTCCGCTTTACAGTTGCCTTTGTTACCGGAGTGAGCTTTGACCTTGGCTATGCTAATTTGTGTTCCGCAAGCTCGAAGCTCCTTCATTAGACCCGTGATAGCTCTTACGGGGCTAAAATCCGATAGGTTGGGTTCACCTGATGCTCTCCATTTAACTCCAGGCTGTGATGCGTTGAGATGTGCTATGCACTGTTCAGAGTCAGTATAGATGGTGGCTATACGGCTTCCTCTGCATAGCTCTAGAGCTTTGAAGATTGCTAGAAACTCTGCCACTCCGCTAGTCTGAGGCAGTACAGTGCCCACACGTTCTGAGACATTCATGTCTGGACGCTCTAGAACGTAGACTCCTATTGCTGCTGATGCTTCATGCTTTCCGTTAGGTCGACATGATCCATCAGTATATATGTTCAACACTGCAGGTAAGGTGAGCTTAGAAGGTGCCATTTTCTACAATGTGTGTTGCACGCACTGCTGTTGTTCTTTCACATATGCTATGTCGATTTGAGGCGAACTGCACTTCAGCACAGGGCTGCAACTTAGTTGCGCAAAATACAGTGAAACGATATTGAAACGATGATCTCCGAAGCATGTAAAGCTTGTAAATCTATTCTCGAGACTCGAGATGTTCAAATGAGATCTGCTGATGAGGCGCATACAACAATAACGTCGTGTCCCAACTGTCCTGTGAATGCTAACAAGATCAGCTCAATGAAAATGCCTCTCCCACCTATTAGGGGTATGAACAGAAAGGTGCGCAGATCATTGCCTGTAACTCCACGGGAATTTAGTAGCGTTCGGAGTCTGTATGCTATGACGTTAGACATGCCGTCAAATCACGAGCTAATGAATGTCGACCTTGAGTCTCAGCATCTCATTCAGTTTTCGCAGGCATATAACAAGCGAGCATCTGATACAGCTTTAAACAGGGTGTTATCGGCAGTCAATGTGATCAGCGGATTGTTCGAAGGCAAATGTATAAGTCTCAGAGACATCAAACGTATAGGAATGGGTGTAACAATGGAAGCATATGAAATGCTAGGATCATCTGATAACACCAACAGTCAGGTGACGATTAAGGGTAGATATGCTATATATAGAACTTCACTCAAGTATAACTGCTACATATATTCCGAGTTTAACGAGAAGAGTAGAAAGTTTGTAGTAGAGCTTGGACACGACGTTCCATCAAACCGCACTATGGAAATCGTGGTAAATACTGCATATAGTCTTGGCATAATACCAGACAATATTGCTAGATATATAAGTACCGATACTATAGCTATGTTTAGTAATTTATCTCCTAGAGGCTGGGATGCTAGCATACCACCTACAACAGGACACATGTTTACATGCAAACCAGATGGTCAGAATGTATGGTTATTTTGGGTAGGTAACATATGGTACAAATTTAGCCCTCGGTGCAGAGGAGGAGTCAGAGAGTGGATTTGGACAGACACCAATAACCATAATGGTGTAGTTGCCATGAGCGCTGAAGATATGGCTTCATATGGATGTATAGTTATCGACTGTTTCACAAACGAGAGTGGCGATATTGCAGATTCTACCAGAGATATAGAATGGGTCATCAACACTGCAGAGCTAATATTGAAGAATAACATTACACTTCCGTTGGTGATACGTAAGTATTTCGATGACTACAATTCTGCGCAGAACTATACCGCATCGTTACCGTATCCTGTAGATGGAATAGTTGCCATTAGAAACGGAAGTACGGAAATTCTCAAGATTAAACCACTAAGATCCATAGAGTTGGCGCTTACAGACGACTATAGATTGACAACATCAGATGGTACTCCGGTTATCGAGTGTCCGAATCATGCTAGGCTGCTGTATAAGCCAGGATCAGTGCTTGAGGTAAGATTTACAGTATCGAACTCCGGCACGATTAATGTCTCTGACATATTTACAAGAACTGACAAGGTTAATGCAAACTCCGATAGTGCTGTCTCCAACATTATAAGATCAGCTCATAAGCTATTAACACCAGATGACAATGAAAGACGTATAGCACTACTCTGGTGTAATAGCTTGCGAAAGTACTTACACTCATTAGCTCTTGGATCTAAATCTAATAAGAATATCATAGTTGATATAGGTACGGGAACTGGTCAGTCTCTTGACTCTATACCTCAGTCCGACTCTATATCCTATGTGTATATCGAACCTGACATGAGCAGATGTAAATCTATTGCTAGACGGCTTAACACTAGGAAGATCCACACTAATCCTAGCGACATAATATCTATGATGAAGCCTCTCAAGACTCGATCCACTAGATCTATCATCATGAATTGTTCTATGTCTGACATTTTAGATCATGAAAGAGTTTCTGAAGTTCTGTTTGGAGAAACGAGAAGTATCACATGTACATTCAGTATGCAGTTCGTCGTGGCAGATCTCCATTATATCGATTCTAAATACCACGTTCCTATATATGGATGTGGTTACATTTATGACAATGTTAACAGTGATGGCACTCTTGTTAGCGATTGTGGCGTGGTGATGAAACAAGAGAATGAATCTGAGGCTAGCATCAAATGGGGTGGAGACAAGCAGTACATTGAACCTGTGACTATGCGTAGAGATTATTCTGGTATAGGTCGCATAATACCAGGGTCTGAGATTATCGCACTACCTGACAGAAATCTATCTAGTGGTGCTTACAACATATGTAGACACATCGCAGTTATATTATCATGATTCAATTGGCAGCTTCGCTGCTTTAAAATCACGGATGTCATACTAAGCATGGATCAGATAATCTATCTACTTGTGAATGTTCACCCTTTTAGAGAGAGGATGAGAAATATGTTACGACCGTACGAGTTTGCCAATCTTTTAAGAGCATACAAATTGACTGCAGACGAGCATGAAATATCAAAGTACCTAACACCGATGAATGAACTATTTTATACTCAAAGTTTGCTTCCGAGGTTAAATGGCCTAGGAATGAAAATTCTGATAGTAGGACAGGACCTTGTAAAAATGTCAGTTCAACTAAACGTAAAAAGTGAGATATGGAATGATAAAATTCATACATACAAAGTTTCACTGGTGGTTTTGATATTCACCGATAGCTTCATAGTTAAAGAACACATACATGCAATTAAAAGTCATATTCGTTACAGTTCTAGTATAGACTTGAAACTTTATTATATCCCATGCTACTCAAGGATTATATACAATAATTATTTTTGTATTACTAACAATGATCTCACATTTTCAAATAACATACAATATAGTGGTTGTACTATAATCGATGTCAATGTTACAAACATTGATGGTCAGTATGACACGTTTATTGATGTTGATAGACCTAAAAGCATTACAATGAATGATTTTGTAAATGGATATGTACAGAGATATTCTGATATACATAGCTTGAATTATGTAACAAATGAGAGTACTGGTACAATTCTATATACAACAGATAGTCAGAATAAGTGCATAAGCTCTAACAGTGTGCAAGGATCGCAGTGGGACAAGGTGGCACTAGTGTTTGATTATATTAATTTAAGATCAACTTTCAATACCATTTTAATAACTGGTATAGTATTATCGTTTTAAATCAGAATTTTAAAATCATGTACATTACCGAGATCATGGTCATGGTTGATAAGGACTGTAGTTATAATCGATAAGGACCGTGGTTACTCAAATCGTTAGTAGTCGTATGCATTGCAACGACGAGTTATTATTCATCGCCAAATCCAACTTTAGAAGCCTTCTTTCTTCTTTGAGAGTTTCCGCGGTTCTGAGTATCAAGAGGCGCCACAGGTAAAGACGAAGCTGTATAGTGACCTCTAGAAACTGCAGGTCTAGATGTACAATCTTCTTCATCATCATCCTCACCTATATTTGCAGATGCGAACATCTTTTCGAGGCTGGGAGTAGGTTTCATAATGCCGCCCTGGACTCTTACAGTATTCTGTCCTCTTACAGCCCCAGACGATTTGCGACGGGATTGGCGCGGAGGTGGAGATACAGCAAAGTAGTTCTCACCTTCGTTCTCCTCCTCGTCGATGAATCCAACATATTTCTTAGAAAACTGGGATGATGTCACCGACATTGCTCGTCTGGTATGATTTGGGTTGATATTTCCTCCTACAAACTTAGAGGATAAATGAGATGTGTTAGAACGGTGAGATCTACCTGAACGATGAGATGCCTCAGATGGAGGCTTTGATGAAACTCTGGCTCCTTCAGGCCACATAAGATCGAATCTGTCGTCGGGGTCACTACTAGGTGCAGGAAGCCTAATTCTGGAGTCTCTATCACCGGCAACATGCCTGTATATATCATCAAGTGTATGACTCAAAGTAACAGGATCTATTCCATCGCTGTACTTCCCGCTATTGAGAATTGCGATAAGATTCTCCATTGTTATCTTCAAATTCCCTAGGGAGAGATTCTGAGTCCTCTTGGCTGGTGCAAACATATCTAATATTGTCTGGTTTAACTGTACTACAAGTGAAGTCTGACCAGTTAGTGCTACCTAGTGAGCTTAGCGACATGTTGTCGCAGTTTACTTCTGTAGCTAGTGAGAGACAGTTCAATTGTGTATAGTTGGTGGTTATGGATTTCCATAACTGATTGATAACCTGTCTTCTACCGATACTAGAAACATTCCATGTACTTTTGTATACATATATCATTGTATTAACTACAAATTCAACTGACGGTTTTCCACTCTCAGGCGATGTAGTGACATCAGCCATCTTTCTGAGCCAGCAGTCTGAATCTTTGGGGCTGGAACTGAAGTAATACATTAGCCTTTCGTATACTTCAGGCATAAAGTCTGCCTTACTCCATCCTACTATGCCTACGACATCAGTACCGTTCGTTATTATATGTTCAGAGCATAAGTTTCCGTGACAAAATGTAGCATCACAAACGTACTGATCTGATCCTTGTTCTGTCCAGTCATCATTATTAAGAATACCTAATGCCTTGTCAAAAAATGCTTTTGTTCTTATGTATGCTATAGGTGTTCTAGTACTAAAATTGCCATCGTTTATATGTCCAAATTTCTTAGATGTTTTCTTTGCAAGAAACCACATTATTGCTTGAACCTGAATGAGTATGGCATCTATATCAGTACTATCAAACGAGGTATATACAGATGATAATGTTTGACCGTGAATGTAGGTACGTATACCTATAGATATAAATTTACCATGGTGGTGAAATATTTCTTTGAGCCTATATCTAGGTACATCTATTGTGTCACGTGCGATCATCACTGCAATGTGATCTCGACTGGTAACTTCAGGCTTTGTAACACCCCATTTAGCAACAAGAACTTCATCGTCACCCTCCTTGTATATCAGCTGAAAGCATATGCTGCTATCAGTTTTTGCTAGTATCTTAGTGGCTGCAAGATTTTCAATATGCATGCTAAACGGACTTATTTCACCAATATGAATAATGAGATTGTCACCCGATCTATTGTCGTATGATCGATTCTTCAAAACGTCGGATATATCAAGACGTCTTATAACATCCGAGTCAAAGCTCCGGCGCCACCTGATATTGAAAAGACCCATTGAATACTACTGCACTAACACAGTCAGCTATAATAAGATCATAGGCAGCTTTGACTAGTATATGGTTATCTTCTGTAGTGCATGTGCACAGCAGCCCTAGGCGCTGGCACTTTGTGCAAAATTTTCCTACAATTGAATCACCACGAGCTGCAATCTCATCGTCACAACATTGCAAGCCTGCAGAAGATGCAGACTGCACTTCCATTTCTCCCCACGCAACTCCCCCGCCTCTAGCTCTTCCGTCAGGAGTACGTAGCGAATTTTTACCCACCTTGATATGTGATATCTGATGTCTCTCTCTTGACATCTGAGTCTGATTGAATACTCTGACTATGCCAAGAGACGCCTTCGTAGGTGTGAACTTAGCCTTACCCTGATTATCATATACCAATGTTCTATAGTACTTCCCAGTAGCGCCAGAAGTAACCAAAAACTCATCGTCTATATCAGGTCTTTCTCCTGGTCTGACAACATATGGTAGAGATTCGTTATTTGCGAACAAAGATAGTGATTTAGCAGCTTCATATATCAAGCCGTTGGTTTGTCTTGTGACAACTGACGACATGCCCATCACAATGTCTGGTACCACCTGTCCATATTCGGAGTGGTGAGCTATAGGCATGTCTTCATAGTTGGTAAGAACAGCAATACCTTTTTGCCCATGTCCCATAGATAACTTATCACCATCTTGTAACTGTTGGTGACTTCTAACTCTAACGTTAACATCGCCGTTATTAAGCTCGGTTATGCTATGAACTACTCCAGTAGGAACATATCCAACTGCATATCTACGACCTTTAATCAATTCATCAGGATCATGACTACATCCTTTCTGACATGGAGACTTCCACCATTTGCATACTATGCCGCACATCGTAGATCCTACAGGAAGTATAGTTTCGTTCCGAGATATATTGTATGAGCATAATGACACTGTACTGAAACCTCCGTTGTCTACATATCTTTTTGATACTATAATTGCATCCTCGTATGTATATTCCATATTCAGAAATAGACACTGAACATTCTCACCTGGCAGATGTGAAGATATACTAGCGTTTCCATCGTTTATGTCTTGAAGCACAGCACTATAAAAAGGCGTTGTTACCACAGGATTAAATGTATAGCATGGAGATACCGCAGCGTTTCCAGGGCACCATGGAAGACAGGTAGCCTGAGGCGTCTGAACTGATGCGATAAGCGGACGTGGAGCTCTGTTTTCGTTCATGTACGGTATGAGACTGAAGTATGCAGAGAAGCATGCCCGAACCTGGTCCTGCCCTTTAACATCAATCTTAGGTTTAATGCCGCATCTAACTCTGGAGGATTTATGTGTCTCAACATTGTCAGCCCAGTAACCATTGCTGCATTGTTTAATCAGAGTACCGCAACTTACAGATATAATAATAAATCTCTCGTCATTATCTACATGAAGGCTGAACAATGTTGGTCCCATAAGAGATAATAGTCTATGATGAGAGCACAGTAGTATTACCTCTTTGTATGTCATATCACAGTATATCCCCATACAGAACACGGTCCACGTGCTTGGTGATCTAACGACAGTGGCTCTAGAGTCTTCAATAACATGGTTCGATACTTCATGAAGCTTGCCTATAGTATCTCTTGATAGCACCCGTACTCTTGTACTACATGTGACTCGTCTCACTCTTCCTGCTTCAGTCGAGTGTGATGTGTGTCCTGCGCATATATACCCTATATACTCGTCCATCTTATAGCCTCTGTTCTCCATATTAGCAACTTTACCCTCCTCTCCTGGGCTCATGTCTATGCATTCGTTATCATGGAGAGATCCTATAAGTCCTATCGATATAGTTGCATTGTGAGGATACAAAAATATCTTATCGTATGAGACATCGTTTATATAGTGATCTGTTTCCATTGCGGCATGTGCAATACTAGCAGATAGAGGAGGACCTGGAGAGCGTCTCAGCTTGTTTAAGATGTCATAGTGGTGTTTAGGGACAATCCCTGAAGTTACAGACCATTGCTGGTCAGCATCACCGCTTAGCTTATACTTTACAGTTCCAGGTAATGCCCACAGTCTTCCAGTGTTGAATGCTGTAGTCAGCCTCACATCTAGAATGTCAATCAGGTCAACCAAATTGTTAGCTCTTTCAAGTTTGAAGCATATTATCTCTGAGCTTTCCATATGCCCGATGATGTTTCTGAATCTATTTAAGCATGGTATCTGTTCTGCCGACACTGCAGCACTAGCCTCAGGTATGTCACTGGGAACCCAGCATGAACCCTTTGCATCTCTGTAGTCGATACATGCATTTCTGAGAGTCAAATGATCTTTAAGAGATACTGCTTCAAGTTTCGTGAAGTCAACACTCAGAGAGAAGTTCTTGAGAGAGTTATAAGAGGCCATTTTGTTCAGCGTTGAGTAACTGCAGCAACTTCGTTGCATATGTCACGTGTGTCTGACAGCAGACATAAGCCTGGGTCTTACCGTTATACAATATCACATATAGAATGGATAGGGATCCAGATACTGTTATGTCCGTCTCTACGTACGATGAGGAAGCAGACGACATGATTGGCGGGGGTTTGTTTACTCGCGACTGGAAGTTAGTGGGCACAGATCCTCCATATCCACCTCCAAGTCCTGATAGCGGTGTCAGTGATGCACCGAGTCATTTCGTGATGTTCTATGAAGAGAATATGGAATGGGCTAAGTCTGAAAAGAATTCAGCTAAAAATCATTCGGCTTTGTCCCCAATAGTGTTAAGCTCTCGAGCGATTGATGCAGTTGAACTGATACCTGTATCTACAGTATCACTAGGGCCATACTATGACTACTTCTCAACACATGTGACTAGAAACCGTAGTGATCAGTTGGTCAACATCTGTAAGAGTGGTAAAAAGAGTCCATGCTTTGATATTAAGAACTGTTATCTAGTACAACCATCGTCTACTGGTAGCTTGGCTAACTTTGTTATTGCTGACGTTAATGGAGTAAGGTGTGTTCCTCTTGTGCCAACATCTGTTATATACAATATAATGGATTCACTAGCTGAGATCGGTATCAGTATAGTTCCAACAGTACATGACGCTCTAGCATTTAATGGATGTAGAGTAAGAATGTCTGAACTATATACCAGTTGCGAAATACCTGACTCAGAGTGGAAAGGGAACACATTCACTAGAGATTTTAATAGACTCTTAAGATGCAGCGCAGTTACGACTGCTACACTTACGGTGTCTATGGTTCTAGGCGTTGCATATGGATCGAGATCTCGATATCACCATCGTAAGGCTCTCAGTATAGTGGTTCACTCAATTAAATAAACGATGAAGAATAGTCACGATTGCGGAGTTACAAGACTGTACAAGAGTCTCGGCATCAATATATATGATCAATGTAGTGTCGGTCCTAGCACTCATCAATATGCTGCAATAGATGCATATATAGAGAACTTAGAGTTACCACTTGTGACAAATCATAGCTTCTGCGGTGTTATGCACAGTCCGAAATTTTGCATAGATTCAAATATAG